CCATCCATCCATCCATCCATCCATCCATCCATCCATTGTTATGTTGAACAGAAACACCTATCAGAATCAGTCCTTGAGCACCATCTCGTTGTGCTCATCCAACAACCCCTGACCCAGGGGACCCGCTCAGTCCCGCAGGACGGCTGCCCAAAGCGCTGTGCCCACGACGTGCGAGGCGAAGCGGTGGGTGCCAGCGACGTCGACGGATGTTGTGAGCAGCTACAGCTCATATGGGTGATCATACCTATCAACCAGCTAATGCATATGAGAAACGCACCCCGGGTTGGCAGATCCAGTTGCTGGTTACTGTACTTCCTGTACTCATCAGCGGATATGCCAAAAAACAATTTGCAAGGCGGGGAACTTTGAATTCCATTCCTGTTGAAGATATGGTAAGTCCCATGTTTTTAGAGAGTGCAGATTGGAAGGACCGTCTAGAAAAAGACCTCAGCAAGCGCAACTTTTCTCTCAGTAGTGCTTTCATATTTCCTCCCAGTATGGAAACGCCTTGTTTTTCCAAAGGGTTTGAGCCAGCAAACTCAGAGTCTTGCGCGCATCTTCAAGTTAAAGGACTTTTGTATGGTGGAGTCATTACCATGGCCACGGACATCCTTCGACCATGTTTACCCGAAAATTTGTTGGATCTTTGATGATTCTGATGGCAAGTGAAAGAGTTGCAAGATTCAAGACTGTAGATTCTAAGGGCAAGGAGCAAGGCGAGCAAGGAGGCCATCGCTCGTAGGTTGGAGGCCATTGCTAGCGGGTTGGAGGCCATCGCTATTAGGTTCCTTCAATTCGTTTGTTCTTACGTCCAGGGTGGCCTCCCCTCCAGCGCTGGGGTGGATGTCAGCGATTGCATTGGGCGCTCCGTAGGCGATGGGAACGTCGCCCATGGCACGTCGCTCGCGTAGAGCTGCATAGTGCTGCACACTTTTGATAGATCGGCTGGGGTGACCAGAAACATTGCCACTCCCGTGGACCGTGGAAGAACAAAAAGCAACACGTGAAAATATATAACATGCTTAAACAAACACATGTCAGACATACCAAAGCGACCGTCAAGACTGGCCAATTCTGCCCCCATGACGTCAGTGCTGCACTGGGCGTTTTGTATTATGTTGTCCTTTTACTTGGACGTTTTCCTCGGGCGAGGTGAATCCTGCAGCGTCTTGTGCACTGGGAACTTCCAGGGAGGCCCCGCAAGCTTCCTCTGCGGCGAGGGCGGAGACTTTCTGGGTGAGATTTCATGTCAGGACCGGTCCTTTTGACGGTTGGTGATGTCATGCGCGCGTCCTTTGTTCCGCCCCTAGCAGCGATGAGAGGGCCCCGTCCGTAGCGTCCGTGCTGCTGTTGCACTCCTGAGTTGCTTGAAAGAACCTTCACTCTGCATCGAAGATGGTCTTCTTTGCGCAGCACCTCCGCCATGGTCTTTTTGGTTTCAAGATGCGTCATCCATGATCACCCAAAGCATTTGTGAAGTACTTGGAAGCTCGTTTATGTGGGACCCTGAAGGCCCTCATTCTAAGACGCTAAGTCATACCGTCATACCTTTCAAACTGTTCAAAACATCTCTAAGACTGGACAAGCACCTTTCCAACACGTCCCAAAGGTTAGTTTATACAGGTTAAATTATGTTCAATGTTTATACATTGTGAACCAAATTGTGTTGGGTTTCGAACCCTCCTGTTTATCAGACACGGTTCTCATGCAACACAGATGATGTCCATCCGTTCCACTTGTTTGTGAGGAGATCACCTGTTCATTGGACGCACTTCCAGATGGATTCCGTACTGACTGTCAGAAGACTCTGGGCATTGAGAAGAAGCTCACCCGCCCGGCATAGAGAGTTTAGGTTAAAGTCAAAACCATCGTAAACTTTCTTACACTTTCATACATACCAAAAACAAACATACTTATGCTCTTTGCTGCAATGTTCAAACAACACCTCGAGGTCCCTGCTTTCGGTTTCATCTCGTCACGAGGTCAGCATAGGTCAACCGGGGTCAACATTCAGGTTTTTTCAGCAGGGGTGGAGATGTTCCATTCCCAGATGCGACCCGACTCTCCGAATCCGGAGGGGCCTTTTGGGGTCGAAACTCCATCCCGTCAGGGCTGTTTGGAGCGTCTTTTTTTGATTCAAACTTGCTGCCAGTTGTTCTTTGTGCTAGTAACAAAGGGCATCGCTATTAGTAGCAAGAAGCTACTAGTAACTTAGTAGCTCCTTGGATTACTACTAGCAACAAGAAGCTACTAGTAACAAGATTGTTTGATTTCTTCCTTCAGTGAAACGATGGTTACTTTCACTTGCATCACGCCCAGGGTTGCCGTGGGAGGAGTTTGCTTTGTGAGCCTTGGCATTTACTTGCATGGATCGTGACCAGGAGATTGACCTTGAAGACCCTGAACCTTCAACCGGCTCGAAAAGCTGTGAACATCTCAATCTCATGTCATAAGATCTCTGTGGGTTTGGCTAGAGGATCATGTATTATATTACGGGAGAGAAAGGGCCCGTTTCGCTTGGAAAGTTCCAGAGGATAGGAAAAGTGTTGTAGGTGTAGTTGTGATTTCTGAAACTTCCCAAAGTCTGTGCCAACAGCATAGCTTCTTTGGCTGGGTGCTGAACACTCCACGTTCATGGTTTTCTGGAGTGCAGAGGTATATAAAATTACTGTCGCATCCTTCCTTGATTTCTCCCTCATGTCATGACATGACATGCATGTAGATCACATGTTTTCGTCAGATGTGAAAATGGGTTGTAGCCGGCACTCGATCTTGAGTGAATTTACGGCCTGCAGACCTTGCATCTGAAGGGGCCGGCCGCAGCGCCGCTCCAAAGCAAGCCTTAAAAGCGGCGCTTCTGCAGAAGGACATGTTGCCGAAGAAAAGAACCAATCTAAAAAAAATACAAAAACAACTCGTTTGGAACCTCGTGAATGGACTGAGGCGATGTCCTGAAGGCTTTGTGGGACAGGAGGCCATGTACGTTTGTTTGGCCGATGGCCAACTGCTTGGACTTTTGCCGCGCTGTGCAGCGCAGACCTGCGGAGTGGCGCCCCAGATCTCAGGTGCAGACAGCAGCAGCTGTAGTGGTGCCCCGTCGAAGGGCGAGACGAAGAGGTTGTTTCGGGTCTGGGGCGATGAAGAGGGCGAGGTGTTGAGAATCGGTTCGGAATTGAACATGAATGAAAGGTGGCTTTGTTGCGAAGGTTCTGAGTTTTGACCTGACAGACACTGATGATCTCTCAATTGTTGACGTGAGTTCGGCATCCTAGCTCCATGCAGAATTCAGCCATCAACCTGTCGCTCCTTTTTTGAAACCCATCCAAAACCCTATTTTGTGATACCTGGCCTTGCTGTTGCTATCATTGGTCTTCGACCAACAGTTGGCACAGAAGCTGCAAACATCGTCTTGTTGAGTGTTTGTATGGTTTTCACCTGATTTTCACTCTGCGAGGTCTTCTTTATGGGCAGTTCTGCCAAGTTTCTTGCAGCTATGGCTTTGAGGGTCAAGCCTCCCAGTATCGTTGCGTGGACGGAGTGCTTCAGGGCCAAGTGCCCAACTGTGTGCGCAAGACCTGCGAGATCCCAACTTCCCTCCAAGCGGCTGAAGGAGTCTCCAGCGCTGCCTGCGCGGGGGTCTTGCATGGACAGAGCTGCATCAGCACATGTAACGAAGGTTTCACTGGAACTGCCTCGCAACTGCGATGTGAAGATGGACAACTGGAAGGGCTGCCACCTATTTGCACTGGTTTAGTGTGTTCGCTTGAGGGCATCGTCATCGGACCCGGTCTTGACGCAAGCGCTTGCACAGGCGGGTCGTTCGAGTGGTACCGTGAAGACTTTGTAAGTTTCACCACCACATGAAACAAACAGTGTCCGGCTCACGCACACAGACACACACACACACACACTATAGTTATATTATATTATGTTACCTGGTTTTACCAACCTCAGAAGGTTCTGGCACAGATGACACATATAATAAGTATCAATAAGTCATTGCATATTCTTCAATGAATCTCCTCATGTCCTTCGCACCTCCAGGCCTTCGCACTTCAGAAAGCTGTGCCTTGCGATGTCGCCACGGATATACACCCATTGGCGACCCGCACCTCACGTGCCAGCCAGACCGGCGCTTGTCGGCCCAAAACAGCGAGCCGGGCACTTTCTCGTGCGTACCCAGCGCCTGTGGTGATCTCTCCAAAGTGCCCAGCTTTGGAGCCAACTTCATCGACCACTCCTGTCACTTGACAGCCTGTCCAACGTGACAGCCAGGCAGTGTGTGACAGGCAGCTTTTTGCGGCAGCTAGAGGATGCGCTAGGACAATGGCCCCTTTTTTTGTGGCAAAGGCAAAGCCACTCAATGTGCCCTTGCAGGGTAAATGAGTAGGAAGCCCTGGTCTTTGAGCATCTCTTGTGTGCTTTTTCGGTTTTCCCACCAGCAAATTGGTTACCCCAGCAAACTCATCACATGGAAGTGGATGGCATGGACCATCATGGATGATTCTTGTCCTTTACGAACAGGGTGGGAACTCCAGGTTTTGTTGTTCCCCAACACCTTCGAATTCAGTGGCCCCTCCCTCTGACACCGACTCCAGCAGTCGTGCCATGCCACCTCTGCGACGGCGTCTCCAAGGCGACGGCCGAGTCTTCGGAGAGGTGTGCTCCGCCTTTTGTCACATCGGCTGGCGCATTGAAGGGAATGCCAGCGTCATTGTTTGTGACGTGGTGGACAACGAGTCCCAAGGTTTCGTGCAGTACTTCGAGAGCAACGGAAGCCATATGCCAGTGCAGCAGACCGCAGGTCCCAGGTGTGTCCCTGTGGAATGCACCCAGACAGAGACCTTTGTAAGCTGTGCAGAGACCTTTGATACATATTTATTGTTTAATGACCGCATTGACCGTCATTGACCCACAGTCAGGGTATTTGGGGGTCTGATGTTCTTGGTTTGGCCACATAGATTCATAGGTCTACATGACTTCCAGATCCAGAATGATCCAGATCCGGTGATGAAGCCATGTCAAGCCGCTGCAGAACTTGCTGAGGTACGGAAGGTTTACCTGACATGAAGGGTGTGGTGCATGACTGTTTGGGAAAGACCACTGGTGAGGAGTGCCGTGTGGAGGCTGCACCGGGATATTTTGCGGAGCCAGACAGTGGGCGGTTGACCTGCCAAGACAATGGTGGCTTCCAAGGCCGGAGCAATAGCAGGAAGGACGGGAAATCGTCATAGAAACATGATGTTTGCATTTTGATACATTTTGAATATAGATTTTCATTGATACTGAATGAGTTATAGCATATTATATATGTATGTAATTATGTATATTGTGTTTGGTTATTCGACAATACAATTGCCGTTGAATAGTTGCATGTCTTTACACTCAAGATCTTTCATCATGAGGCGAGGTATCATTCCACAAGTACAGCGGATTGCGGATGATTTTGCTGTGCCAGGTGTGATGCCAAAGATTCAAGCGCTTCGCTGTGTGGATGTGAGCTGGCAATCAGCTCACGTGGGCAGCACCTGTGCGAACGCGACGGTCGCTGCGGAGTGCTGGGCCTACTGTGAGCAGGGTTTCCAGGGATCTCCCAGACGCTACGAATGCGTGACGAATGGCACGGAGAATCCGCAGCCTCTCGGAGACGAGAGCAGACTCGAGAGCAGTTGGACTTGACTTTGCAGACGAGAGCAGTTGGAGCTGTTTGACTGGGCAAAGCATTTGAGTGAATTCAAGTGGGTTGCCTTTGGCATGGTAAAGCCTCGTCGTGCAGGGATCCATGGGCAGTCTATGTTGCAGGGGGTCCATTCGTTCTTGTCCCTTAGGCCCTAGTGGCCCTGTGTTCAGCAAGCCCGGCCAACTCTTGTGCGCTGAAATGTTAGAAGCACAGAACACCACATTTGTGGCCTGAGACGACGTCCGAGGAATTCGGCCTCGCACTTTTGGGGAGACTGAGAGGACAAAAAAGGAGTGTTAAATCGTTCAAAGAGGTCTAAAGATGTCTAAAGATCACTAAAGATCCAACATAGTCTGTTACTTAAGGTCCAACGATTTTGATGCATTTAAGGATGTCAAGGTGTACGTTCTGCTCGGTGTCACACCTGTCCCAAGGCTTCAAGCTGCCGAGGACATCCACTGCCAAGCCCAGTCGGCACGCCGGGCAGCCGCCGTTCTCGCGCGTCCGCGTAACATCGCAGCACCCTGCGATGTTCCACCTGAGTGCCTGGGCAGCGGTGGAACTGCTGGGAGGGAGTGACAATTGCATCTTCCCTTAGACCGGACAATCATAAACATGAACAACATGTTCATTTCCCAGCACCTGGACGATTCATGAAGATATCAATCATTGCCCAAAAAGCTCACTCATGCTACATGCAGATCCACTCATCACCACCGTGCTTTGGCTTGTAAAACGAAACCAATAAGACGTCGTTGGCTGAGCACCTGTGCACCTAAAGCCGACAACATGCGATGCTTCCATGACCTGCTTTTGTGTTTTTCAAAGCAAGCTCTTCAGCAAATCTGCTGGCCACTCGCCAAATGGTTTGCTCTCCGCACAAGATGCTGATCACTAAGTGTTTGTCCCTCGAGATCAGTTAGACAGTTTGTTATATAGACATACTTGGACTTGCCCTGTATATCAGCCTTGCACCTCTGGCCGGACATCCGATGTGAGATCAAACCTTCCGGTGGGATCCGTACGTCCCGTTACGTCCCGTTCATGGCGTTTGCATTTCGAAAGCTTTACGGAAGATGCATCGTTCCATCAGATGTCGAGATTTGGAGCCCAAAAGAAGGACCCTGGCCGCCAGCCTCCCCGTTGGAGGGCGAGTCATATCCTTCGGCCATCCTCCAAGGCTTTGGGATCTGCGCTTTATTCACTCCTGCACATCTGCTCAAGATGGAGATATTTGCGTGGTGCACTGTAGTACAGGCGGTCTGGCCCGGTCTGGTGGGAACTAGACATGGTATGAGGTGGAAATGGGTGGAAGGAAGAAACCGAGCCAGGCAAGCCTGATGTGCTTGATTCCATTGGATTTTGATGGATGTTTGAGCCCCCCCAAAGGCGGACCAAGCATGATGTTTTTCTTCGGCACTGCGAGTGCTGTTCTGCGTGTTTGGGGAGTATGAAGGATGTCCATGTCATTTCCTTCGGTGAATGCCTATCTAGGCTACATCATGGTGGAGACAGAACCCTTGCTGCTCTCTTGTCAAGATGGACAGTTCATTGGAGGCCTGACATCGGTTGGAGCGACGCAGCTCGCGTCGTTGGCGCAAGGTCTGGAGGAGCTCTAAGCAAACTTTCTCGTCATGGTTTCCATGCGACAAGACCACTAAGAACCTAATAGCAATGGCCTCCAACCTAGAAGGCGATGGCCTCCAACCTAATAGCAGAAGAATTCAGAATGCACTTGCACGTTTCATGTCGTGCCCACACACGCACCCTGTGACACAGGCGCTCTCCCCACCTGCCTTCCGCGTGCGTGCGAGTTTGCCTTCCCGAGTGGAGTCGGAGTCCACCATGACTGCGAGGGCCGCACCACTGGAGAGAACTGCACGGCCAGATGTGGAGAGGAGCTGAATGCAGTCGTGCGTGCGAAAGTGAAGGTTTGTTGAGAGTTGGCGCAAAACACAGGGGTTGACAAGGGCACGAACACAAGCTTTACAAATCGAATCTCCTCTTCACTTTTGGGTTACCTGTGTCTCGACATCTCTAATACTTCTCTCGGAACCTTTGGATACTCATTTGCATACCATTTTTCTCGTCAAAGTACGTTACTTCACTTCGAATGCATTCGAATGCTCTATTTTGGGAAATATGGATATGCTTGAACCATCCGGATTGAACTCCTCACATTCCGTGCCCCACTCCCAAAGCTTCACACACCTGATACCAGCCATGACCAGCATGCCGCATCCCAGACGCACAAGTCCACCATGCACTCGTATACGGCACCCCGTCCGTGTATGTACCATGGTGGTGCCTTATCTTTTGGGACGCTGATTTGGAGCTGATTTGGAGTTCATTTGGCATCACAGGCCTGGGAGCTGATGTTGCATTTTGTTAAGGCATTTTCTGGTTTCTGCACCTTCATTCACCGAACTCACGAACGCGTAAGGCCCCTCATTTTCTTTTTGAACGCCGCGCCTCATGAAGCCGCTTTGTTCCCATTTTGGGGATCATTAGGCGGTTTCTTTTTCCTGGTGTGCAAGACGTGCTCGTTTTTCCCCTTGAAGTCACCAAACTATACAACAGCTCTCGAGGAAGGCCACTCATCACAACCACTCACAAGAGTTATGTGCTCCTCAAAATCAAACCCCCACTTTGCTGGCTGGGTGAGCACACCTCTGCAGTTGGTATCACGTTCCGCCTGCGGAGGGTTTCACGATGTCTCACGTTGTCTCACGTGTCCCGGAGTCCCGGAGTCCTCAGCGCCCCAACGACGAGGAGTTCACCTACACGTCTGCGGGGCCTGAGACCTTCGAATGCACAGCCTCTGGCAGCTTTGTGGGACACTCGACACACACGGTCTCTTGAGGCCAAGCAACGACCGACCCACCATGCCCTGAGACTAACGTCTAATTAGGCACATGTTAGCATCATGATTTAACACCCTTGTTGATCGTTAAATACCTGTAATATACAGATACCTAGACATGCCTCGACGACCTTTGTGAGCTTTGGGTTGTGACCTCGCTCGGCGGTCCGTCCGTGGGCGTCCTTTTCTCGTCCCCGAGCCTCTCAGGGACCAGCCCCTCCTGCGACCGCAAGTTCTGCCAAGACTTGCAGCTGTCGGCATTGTCTCTTGGTGGAGCCGGTGTGATTTTCGGTGCCGTTGACAACTGGTTATTTGAACCCACCTGAGTTCACCTTGTCGCATTAAAGAATATCCACAAAGAACAATTGCCCGCTGGGTGTGTGTGTGACCCGTATCCAAATTAGATGCAACAAATTAGATACCCTGACGATGCCCTGAATCTTTTGGTCATACACATTTGCACTGTCGATCAGCTTCGCCATTGACGCTCAGCCTTGCACGTAAGACACCCTGTACATAGTATGTGGCTTGTCTACATAGCTGCATGGGTTTGTCGCGCGACATCCGATTCGGTATGTTCAAAATCCTCTTAAAAATCCCATCCCCATCGGACCCCATCGTCGGGTCCGTTTTTGGAGCAAGAAAACCGCCGAAAACCGCACCGTTCGAGACCTGAATCGTTCGAGACCGCTTGTGATTCATCGAACAAACGGTGAAGGTCTAGGGCAGATCTTCAGAGTTAAGACCTTGATGTTTATGTGCCTTCATGATAGCTGAGTCCTTTTCCTTGGCTTCATCAATAGATTGGTGAAAGGGAACATCTACAGGAAACCATTGTTTTCACCCCCAAAACTATGGCCTTCCTGTAGATTTTCCCGTAAACCAGTTCTGGGACTTCAAAACCTCAATCAATCTTATAGTCCAGACGCGATCGTGGGGATCCTTTTCGTCCCCAGACGTTTGTGGTGGCGGCTTGGCACTGCTTCGCTTGATGAAAAGTTGGAAAGCACTTACTTAAGGATCGACTTACTGTAGTAGGAGGATGTTCAGAAACCGACACCACCTGGACCTGGAGTCAGGACACCGCCTTTGTCGTGAGTTGCAGAGAGGATGAATCAGGAGCTGGGATCGACTTCCTCGAAACTGCCTGACTCAGGTACTCCCACAACTGCCGGCAGAAACGCTATGGCGATACTTGCGGAGTGACCTGCGCCACGGGCTTTTACCTCACCTCTTGGGGGACTCAGTTCCGCTGCACGGGCACGTTCGAAGGCGCGGCCGCGAACGTTCGAGGAAAGCAGCTGGGGACCGAAAAAATATGAAAAAATGATGAAACAAAACGTGAAAACACCTGTGACTGAACTAATACGACACCTTTATATGCACTTGGTTGAAACTTTGTGATGGTCATGTGACATGTGTCATATTGTCAAAGCCTTCATGCAGCTTTTTGTATTTCACCACCATGGCTTTGCATCAAGTTTTGAAAGGAGCTCCTTCAGAACTGCTTGGGAAGAAAGCTGTTGAGTCTTGTTTTTGCACGTTGCATACCAGCCGTAGCAAAAGACAAAAGAAGCAATTCACACTTGCAGTTTGGAGGGCATAGTCTTCCCAATGCCTTCCAGAGATCCTGGTGTTGCTGAGAACGACGAACCGTGACCTCCACCGAGAAACTGCCTGGACCGCCCTGGACCCGTGATGGCCTCGAAACCTGCACCACGTTTGGTTGTAGTCCACTGGTCCATTTGTGGAGAAACCGAGAAACCTGCCACTTCTCCGGCCCGCGATTTGGACCGACACTGAGGCAGTTTGCCGATCTGCCAGCCAGACCCCTGCACTGATGATCTGGCTGTTGGTGGTGTGTTCAGTGGAGATTGCGAAGGTTTATTGACCGGGGAAAGCTGTGAGCTTTCCTGTAACGCATCTTGCCTGATTTTGTTTGTGCAAAGCCCAAATAGAGTCAAAAAGAGCTGAACTTGGTCACTTGGTTAGTTAAGATGTTGCTTGGCCATGAATCTCTCGATGTGAAGGCTGGCTTTGCGCCCAACAGCACGCAGCTGATCTGCGGCGAACGTGGCTCGTTGGTAGGTGCTTATCCCCTCTGCAAACCAGCCAGTTGTTCTTCAAGCTCCTTGGGCATCAAGATGCGCTGCAATCAGGGTCACAAGTGTAACACACCTGTACCTATATAATTTGCGGACTCATGAGAAGAGGATAGAAAAAGAGCATATATATAATATAGATATACGTAGAAAAGAGGCGACTCAACTGCAAACTGGGGCAACCATAATTCTTTCATAGTCTTTCATAGCCTTTTGTACTCAACTATCCTTGTTGAGGCGTGGCCTCCTTGGAAGCACCTTCGATTTCTCACAACTGCCACCTGGCATATCCATCAATATCCTGGCATTGTTTTCGCCCAGTCGTTTTTTGCTCGAAAGAAAGTGCAACAGTCATGGTCATAGTTAACCTGGAAAACATCAACAGCGTGAGAACTGCTTTAGAATGCTTTAGATAATTCATGCAGTTCTGCAGATTGTGTGTGCCTGAGCTCAGGTGAGGGCGTCGTGTTCGGACGCAGCTGCAGTGTATTTTGTGCCCCTGGCTATGAGATGCTCGATGAGGTGACGGAGTGGAGATGCCAACTGAATGGCACACAGCTAGTTCTGACAGGAGAGAACGGAGGCTGTTGTAATGCCTCACACACTGAGATACTAGGTTTCTGGGCCCTTTTGAACCATGATGGGTGAAGAACTGCAGAGATATGCAGAAATCAATTGCTTGAAACTAATCGAGAAGTTCAGCTTCACAAAGATCTGGCGCACGTTCCTCGCAGGAGCCAATTCATCCTCTCTCCCATCTTGTGAGCCCCAACGCTGCGTGGGCTTGCCACAAGCGACTTCCGGTCCCTTCACCGACAACTGCAGCGGCTTGGCCTTTCTCGACCACTGCGACCTGCGCTGCGCCGAGGGCTACGCAGCGAACGGCACCGAGACTGACCGAGCGCCGGCGCTGCGCTACCACTGTGGCAGCGATGGCTTGGCCGAGGCGGAGGGCACGCAGCCCAGGTGCAACTCGGAGAGAGCGCGAAGACGTGCCGAAAGACGTGCCGAAAACAGGAGAAAGAGAGGATTTGTTGCCAATTCCTCGAGAGAAAAGTCTGAAAGTCTAATTCATCACTCACTCAAAATGGATTGCAAGGAAGATGACGCTGCAATGACATCAAATCTTCCCTGTTGTGCAGTTGCGCATGCTCTATCATGTTCTTGTTTCTGTTTGTTTGTTAACAGAGCTTAGGCGATTTGGTCACCTGCAATGCCAGCTTCTCCATCCCTGGAGTCTTGAACACCTGTGAAGAGGTGCTTTGCCTTTTCGTTTGTTCCATCCAGTGCCCCACTGCAAGGTCCGTTTTCGGACGAAGCCGCATGCGGCTCACCCATTTGCTTAAGAAGAGGTGGACTCATGTGGATCTTTATAGGGGATGATTTATGTTTGCATATGTTTGTTGTTTCTTATGTGATTGATGTTAATATTAAACAATGCTGCTAATGCCAGTGAGCGCAATAAGATGAAATTAGCATTTTCTGTATTTTATTGTAAGCAAATGTTAGCAATAGTCTTACCGTCAGACACCTTCAACCGCTTCAACCCCAGCAGCTTCTTCCAGAAATCTTCTGACAGGAGTAGTGTGACACAGCGTGACCTTAATATTAATATTTAAACATCGTTTATTACTGGAGCACCCGAAAGAGCAGGGTGTCCACCATTGTAGATGTTTCCGCTTCGGACATGATACTGGGATCGCTAGTAGGTAGCAATGGCCTCCACCCTAGTAGCGATGGAGCGATGGCCTCTGCCCTAGTAGCGATGGCCTCCACCTAGTAGAGATGGCATCCAACCTAATTGCGATGTCCTCAAACCTAGTAATGTTTTTCCCCGCCAAATTGGGCAAGAGCTGTCTCTTGGTCAAGAGTGAGAGCTGTGTGAGCTAGAAGAGTGTGAGCAAGAGCTGCGAGGTCTGCAAACCTGTCCATTATCCATGTCTCTTGATTGTTTATGTCAATTGATGTGTATTTTGCACAAATTACTGTACTTTGCGTGATCCCGGCCCTCTGACAGTCGTTCTGACATTCAAACCGGCAAAAGAAGATGTCCTTTCTGGCATATTTTCTGACATCCTTTCTGACACACTATCCGGCATATCTTCTGGTATATCTTCTGACATCCTTTCTGGCATATTTGCTGGCACGTTTGAAGGGGGTGGGTGCGTGTGCAATTGTTGAGAATGATTGTGGTAGGTGCTTTTAAAAGGCGCAATAGCCGTCGTCCGGTGGGCACTTGCCACCCAGTTGCTCCGGTGGAGAAAAACACCATTTTGGCCCTCGAAGGTTCCGGTGAATGGCAGCTGCTACGCCTTTTGTGCGCTGGGCTACCGCTTAGAAGGCCAAGCTCAACGATGGAAGTGTGAACGCAGCGCCTCGGTCAAGTCCACACAAAGTGGAGATCGAAAACTCCAAGGGTGGCAGGCCGATGGTTATGGAGATTTCGGGGTTGGAGAGGTCGACGTGAGGGGTTGGCCCAAATGGGACAAACTCAAGTTCGCAAGTGGTAGTTTCTGCAAGTTAGGCTGACCAAAACACTGCAAGTTAGGCTGTGCAAAGTGAAACTAGATTGTGGGACAAGCGCGGGTATGCTGACCCAAGTCCAGAGTCACAGTTTTTCTGCAGCCTTGTTCAACCACTGAGTTTCCACGAGTTCAGGCCCCCTGTGAGGCCACGCCGAGGCAAGTGAAGCGATCCGCCTGGAGTCCCGCGATGAATCCCAGACAGTCCATTGGACTGTAGTTGCCTACATTGGGGTGACTTGAAGATGTTTTCAGGGTCAACAGTAGGTCAATCTTCCTTGGGTTTGTTTGTTCTTACCTGTAACAGGACCCGTAAACAATTACAGGTAATAGATGGTAATAGGATAGACCCAACATATTTCGAATCCACACCTCGAGGTGAGACACCACCGATCCACGACCAGAACGACGGGATCACCCTCCGTGGCTATTTGCCGGTTCTTGGAATGCGCCAAGCAAGCGTTGGCGTTGAGCGAACGAATGTACTGGTGGGGAAGCAAAAAAAGGATGCCCTCCGAACCCAATGGTTTTCTTTTTTTGTACGACTATTTTGAGTGCCAAGTTTGTTTGTGACATGGCCTAAGGTTTGTTTGTTGGAGTTCTGTAGCTCCTTGGCTGAAGCTGCAGAGGTCCAGTCAATGAATTCAATGGCAGCAAAGATGGCAGTCGCAGCTGTTCCTGAACATTTTGCACCAGACTGTACATTTCAATACAATGGCCATAATAGGCAGCTCAAAATGTGTGGAGATCTGAGACATTTGAGATTTGAGATCGACACAAAGGGAACCACGCCGCACATGAGAGATTGTCTGGGCGTCCCAGGCTACAACATCCCCTGGTCTCCACGCTTCTCGCACAACTGCAATGACGTGATGTCTCTTGGCATCGGGAACGACCAAAGGGGTGGATGTCATGCAGAGCATACAATTCTGTCAAATCAGTAGAATTTGGTCAAGACAATACACCAGCTCAGCTCTAGTTCAACAAATCATGTTAGCACAATGCATTGACAGACCGGAACCCTCCTCGCATGAAATTATGTGGCCAAGTTTCTGCTTTTGTGCTGCCAAAGTTTCTGCGTCAAGCAATCATCGACTGAAGATCCACGGGAGATCCATAGAGTCTGGGCTTGGTGATTTTCAATGCTTTTCACACTGAGGACTTGGAAAAGCTGTGAGGCGGGACCAGCCGGGTGCTACACCCGTGAAAGTGAGATCTCAAGTTGAAACGGGAAACGTGCCTCGAATCCGCCTCGAAGGGGACGAATCGGACGAACAGAAACTCACTGCACACAAGGTGCACACCGCAAGCGCCCTACGAACGGAGCATGTCGGGCATCGACGAACGGAGCGTTTGGACGCTACGGTTTGGGGCTCCTGGCCGTACTAGTAACAAGGACGCTACTAGTAACAAGCGCCCAAAAGGGGCTGGAGTTTACCTGGGACTCGCTGGATCGCAGGTGCAATGTGCCGCAGGCTTCGTTGGAGGTCGCAGCAGTTTGCTGTGCCAGCCGGATGGTGCACTGATGGGGCCACTGCCAGACTGTCAGGAGGCCGGATGATGGTAGATGTGACGTGTATGTGATTTGTGCCTGATGATTTATTGTCATATAAATAAACACTTGCTCAAATATTGTATGTTTAGTTTTTTTAGATTTAAAGGCAATTTTGAGTTTCAGTGTCATGTTTGGTATTGTTTGATGTCACTGGGTACTGGGATTAAGTGGTCTAGTCTGAACGCCAGGTGACTGAACCCCAGCACTTTTAGTGTTGGAACGTGTTTTGAGAAACAGCGTGCGTGACGAAGGTGAAGTGAGTCCCTTTGTGCTAGGAGTCCGTGACGAGCACCACCGTGACAGTGTATACCTCCACAGAGACAGCCGGGGACTTGATGTGAACGACACCGGAGTTGGCAGTTGGAAAAGGCAGAGACCATTTCTTTGGCCAACTCTCGGTGACTTGTCAATTGCCAAGGCGACTGCGACAGTGCTGTTCTTCATCTTTGCTAACTTCACAATGGCTGTGACACTTGGCCTGTTCCAACCTTGTAGGATTTCTAGAGTTTCAGTGTGACGTACGCAAGTGACTTTCAGAAACATCGGGCGCGAACCTGCGAACCTTCACTACCTCCCCTCAGTCACCTCATGCACATAAGGTGTTTGTTTCTCCACCGCCTCACAGCCATGCACGGCGCGAGGCATTGTGTGTAATGATATGCCCGCCAGGACCCCCAAGTGAAGACGACATTGAGAATAGCTTAAAGAGGTGGTGTACCATATATTGTATATGGTATACGTGTTCCTTTGTTCCTTTGCACCTTCGACAAAGTGAAAAGTGAAAGAATGGTGCAAGGTCCAATGTGGAGGGACTTCTATCACATCCATTGGCTGAAGAAGGCGGGAGTGATACAGCGGCAGTCGTGATGTTTGTTTTTCCCCAGATAGCTGCAAGCTATAGGGTTCTTACTAGTCAATGGTGTGGCTTTTGATCGGCGTTTTGGTTTTGTGGGTGCCGCTGCCGTGCTGGTGCTGGTGCAGGTGGCTCTGGATAGGCGTTTCGTTTTGCGCTGTTGCTGGTGCTGGTCCCTGGCATGACATGGCATCCCCGGCCTGACATGATGTCGTCCCCGGCAGGACACCATGTCACCACAAAGGGAACAATACATACCACAAGGCAATATAGGCATCAATGTGTCAGGCACCACAAGGGTGGATACGTCATCCAGCATGACATGATGTCATCCCTGGCAAGGTGAATGCTTTCGGCACCGATTGAAAGCTGTTAGACATTGAGTTTTTTCCCTCAGGCACTATGAGACTATGAGTTTTTTCTCTATACACCCGCTATCCCGGGTCTATGCCGGTGTACAGTAATTCTTTTTCTGCACGTTGACCCATGAACAAATCAGCGTTTATGATTCACCATGAATTCGGGTAAGTTGAAGGTTGGACAGCAACAATCTCAGACGTATGTAATGGCTTAGGATCACTCATTCTGTTGTTAACTACGTTGTCCTCTCTTGAACCGCCTTTGGGTGTCCACAAGCCAAGTCTTCACGCAGGCCTGCAGTTGGGGTTTTGCAGGCCAGAGAAAGGCAAACTTGCCCAACATGTCTTTTAAAGATCAAAGGGTTCAGGCAATGGCCAGAGTTGTGGTTTCATTTGGTTAGGCACTCGGGCTTTGAATTCACATGGCTCCATATTGAATCCATGTTGACCCGAATCAGAAGTTTTAGTCAGGATTGGACGCAAAGTTGTTTATTATCCTATATAGACAAATTCAATCAGAGATGTCTACAAAAGGACCAAGAAAGATCATTCTGCCATGAAAGAAATTGCATTCACGGAAAGATATCTGGTCTACACTTGACCTCCGGTTTATTTTGCACATGGAATAAACTTAGAAATTTGGAGGAACAAGTCGAAACAATCCACGACACCGCCCAAAGACCCGTAAAGACACAGCCCGTGGCACTGCGCCAGTTGCGATGCCCTTAGCTTGAGGTTTCGCCAATGGTATTGCCGAGATTTTTCAGCTGATGCCCAACCAGATTGAGATCACTGTGCAGGCAGCTGATAACACAACATTGCACTTCAAACGCAAGGTTCCCCCAATTCCCCCCAAATGTTAATGGTTGAAACCAAGGATTTGATGTTGGCATCGCCTATGAAGTTTGTGCTATGTTGTTTTCCGATTTTGCCAGACTTCCGAGACCAATTCCACAAATTCACCTGGAACTGCGTCACCGAGGAGCCTTCCTCCAGCGTGCTGCGGATCTCCTGCAACGCGTCGTCGGTGTCGGAGTGGCGGAGTCTCCTGGAGGAGCTCACGGTGGAGCAGGCCGCCGGTGGCAAGGGGAAACCGTTGATCAAGATGTTCGTGTCGACTTTCAGGTGGACATGGCCATGAACAGCAACATCCAAGCTCTTCTCAGCAATGTCTCTGGAGTTTCTTGATCTCAGCGATCTCTTCTACTGAGAAGCTCAGGGAATCAAGGATGATCTCCCGTGGTGGCCGTTTTTGTTCTTGTTGTCCATCCGGATCTCCTGAAAAGTTGGCCGTCGTTTCTTGACCGACCGACTCCGTCGAAACGACGCAGCCGACCAACGGACGTGAATTCCAAGTGTCCTTTGGCCAAAACATCCAAATCTCTATAATGCAGTATACCACCCAATACAATGCGATGCGAAATGATGCGAACCATGTGTTGCAGGTGTCTTATTTCAGTTTGTTTTTCCAGTTTGCATCTCTGTGTGACGGGCGGCTGGGCCGGCTGTTCGTACCCCTACCCCTCCGATTATGAGTCCGATCGGATAAGCCTAGGTGACTCTCAGGATCCTCGTGGTCACAGTGGAAGTCTCAGATGGAAGAGGTGAGCCCTTTGTTTGGGCTTTTCGAGCCATGGACGAGGAGCCCGAAACCTGGCAGGAAGGGTCGTTGGCACATGTTGGCACTCAAGAATGGGTGACGGAGTATTCTCTAGCACATGAGCAGTCTATCATCATGGAACAATGTTGTGACCCTAACAATCTATGTATACTAGCGGACTGGAACTTAGAATGCATTTTTGGAAATCCTGATCCGGGGGAAAAAATTTTTCCCCCGGTACCGTGAAACCGTGCTGATGATCTTACATAAACTTGGATCAACTTGGATGAACTTTGGCTCCGGGAAAAGCCATGTGCTGCTCTCCAAGGGGAAGATTTCCATATGTGCATGTATATACTGCTTAAATGTGTTAGGAATATTGTGGAAACGTTTGATAAATGTGCACGTTGGCACACAAATCTTTCCTTTCTCTACCTTTGCGCATTGAAACTTAGAATGACTCTGTTAGACTACGGACTGAAACTTAGAATGGGTCTGGTAGATACCCAAAAAACTCAATATGGAGGCATTCTAAGTTAACCCAAAAAGCCGGCATTCTAAGTTTCCCCCCGGCATTTTGGACAATTGGCCGGCATTCTATGTTTCAGTCCGTCGGTATATGGAATATTTGCCTACATTGGGGTCACTTGAAGATGTTTTATATAAGGGTCAATGTTGGTAAATGTTCCCAGTCCCATGGATGGTTTGGGTAATCTATATATAGTCTCTTCGTTTCTGCAAGTTCGCTGAGGAATTGGCCAGCGCTTCGAAGCTTGGCCCAACTAGCGCAAGCTTCCGCTGGAAGTGATTATTGTGCGTGTGTGTGTGTGTGCGCAAGAAGAATGGATTGGCACATGTTTTTGCACCACTGAAAGTAACAACCTATCCTAACGACCTAACGTAGTTTCTGAATGTTTCTGAGTGGTTAGAAGCTCTGCATGCATCCCGCGTCCAACTTTGAAAGGACACGTCATCACCGGATAGTGAAGGTTCAGCTTCTCCTTGGGAGCTACATATATAAGTTTCTTCTTTTTCTTCCATCCCTGAGAAGGAGGTTTTGATTTGTTTGATTCATTTGATGAACAACAATGTGATTTGTATTGATGTTTCACTATATAGTAGTCTATCAGTCGTGGAATCTTGATGATTAAAAATCTCTTGGCGTGGACCGAAGCTTCTTCATCCAGTCCGGGTCCAGGTTGCCTTGGAGTATGAGTAGGACTGCTATAAGAGAAGCATTGCCACCATGTGTGTCCTGTTGCTCCAACGTGTGACCCACCTCAAATAGGCGAGTTGCACACAAGTCCATTCATTTCTTGGCTTTCGCGTTTGTTGATGTTCAACAGCCCGTTCTGGGTGGAAAAAACATCATCCAATCGAGGAACTCACCATGTTGAAAACAACTCCACTCGTTCGCATTCCAGGCTAGTAGCTGCATTGACAGCCTCGGGCGCTGCACTGGTTTGCGGTTTCTCGCGGCAATCAATCGCTGTATCACTGTCCAGCGACTCTTAGAAATTGTTAGTCTTTATTAATTTATGCTGTTAACTATACATATTTGTTGATTTTAGCATCGGTCCAATGATCGTAGTCTTATCCCATGATGGACGGTGTGAGAATTCCGTGCTTATCGCATGCCCGCATGTTTGAGACCTGTGAAAGAGTTTCTTGCTTTTATTTCATGGGCAATTTGCTCCAGCCCAGGCTGCCTTTGCTGCATATATGGATCCTTGGCAGGGATTCTTGTTCTCCGGTGAACCCGGAGCCGAGGCCGATCAGCTGAACATCGGGACCAAGGAGATCACTTCCTAGGAAGGAGGTGAATGTTGAAGAGGTGTCCATCACAGGTTAAAGCATTGATGTTATATAGAGCACCTGTTGGAGGCTTTAGATAGATGACTGATGTGCGGCACTGTGATTGGCACAGCTTTGGAAGAACGGTCGTATAGCTTTTGGAGACTTGAGAACTATGCTGAAGAACACGAGAATCGTGATGAGAATCGTGAGTTCAGAAGTTTTCACATGCATCACGGTATGAGTCATGATGGATCATGTGGCTCCAACTTCCCAAACCTATCGGCTCCAGCACCTGGCTTCATCAGCCGAGCAGATAATGTGCCTGTCCGTGGTCGCTGTTTCAGTAATTGGAAGGTTCATGTTGTGTTTTTTTTTTCCGAAACAGTATTCACTGGGGTTCTCTCCTGGGGAAAAAGAACCTTCTGCTGATGTTTGTGGTCTATGGATGGTTATCATGAGGGTCAGGTTCCAGGACCCTTCCGTTGGACAAGAGTCCTGTTCCGAGCCTTCGAGGCTATCAACGCCGGGAGGCACGAGATCTCGTCGACGTCTCAAGGTCGACGTCTCGGTTTTTGGGTCGACGGGTCGCGGTAGGTGATGGTTTCGGGTATGTTTATGTTCAACCCTTACTTGGGGATGATTGGGCCCTCTGACTCATATTTCTCAAGTGGGCTGAAAACACCGACCAGTTTTAATTTTGATGTTCGAGGTTCACTTGGGATGATTGAATGAACCCGCCTCATATCTCCACCAAGCAGCTGGCAGTTGAACCTGAAGTTTCAGACCCTTGGGTCTGAACACATTGTTCGACCAGCACATTGTTCGTCACCACATGCAGCAGGTCAAAGGCAAGCCCTGGCAGATCGCCCGTGCTGCTCGGCGCATCAGCCAAGGACCTGGGTGGGGTGTTTGTGTTTTGGCAAGGGGACCTCAGACATCTTCTTGAACTCAATGGCCTGGGACTCAAATCCGGGATATCCGTCCATCGAAATCTAAAAAGATGTATCCTGAAGTTACAAGTATCCTAAAGTACTGTTGTGAGAAAAGTAATGGATGCTCATCGAGTTGAGGTTTGGGGGTTCTCGTGCATTCTCAGCGTAAAGGTAGAAGATATCAGAAGGCAAGAACGACATATGCCTGAGACATCCTGAAACCAAACAACCATGAAAGTACACAGAATCTACCATAGAATACACTCCCGTACGCATGTGAAGAACGACTCGTACTGCATCTGCTCCCTGTTGGATAGGCTTGGAACACCTGAATAAACCATTCGACCTGGCGGCATCGGAACACACGAGACCGGGCGGAAGCGTTTGTCCCGACCGACACCAGGGCGCAGTGGAGCCAGCTCCAGGGGCTGAGCCAGAGACAAAACACGGGCCTGGGAGTACAGTAGTGATTACAGTATATATCTCAAACCAACGACGCTTCTCATATGGAACCCAGCCAGGACTTTGGCAGGGTGACGAAAAGGAAGAAGCGAAGAGAAATGATCACTAAAGCACTCAACCACCTTTGCCGAAACAAATGTCTTCAGTTACACTCAACCTGGCTGCTGTCCTTCTTCCTCCTTCCCTCCTGCTTGTGTGTGGTGTGGAGCTCCAAGGCCTCGACAAGAGCTCAGAAAGAGAATGATAGAAGAGACCTTTGAAACCTAGAAGCGATGACCTCCACCCTAGTAGCGATGGCCTCCAACCTACTAGCGACCCCGAAAGCATTGAAGATGCAAGACCACACTGGGCTTTGGCGCTTCCTTGCTTCGGGAGTTCCAAGTAAACAATAAGGTTCTCAAAGATCTCAAAAGATGTGGGTGAAATATTGCGCATCCAATTTGAAGGAGCTGTTGAGTTGAATCCAAGACTTCTTGAGAATATCCGTGTCTTTACTAAGAAACCCTGAGCAAACACACAGAGAGTGAAACACATATTTTCTTTGGAGATCCGACGTTCCTCATGTTGGCGAAAAACAGGAAACCTCATCAACGCAATCAGTCGGAACCAGATGGCAAACATAAGCCAGATGTGTGGCGTTCGGTGAGTTCCAGTTCCTGTGCAGAACATGCAGACTTTAAAGGGGAAAGTTTAGGCTTGATTTGATTTTGCTCATGCAGAGGGAGGGAAGCACTGCGAGGATGATTGTTATACAATTGATATATGATGTGGATTTGTGGGCGTGGGAACAAGACAAACGTCCAAAGGATGTTCAGTTGAACATCAGCAACGGGTTCGGGAAAGGTGGGTAATGTCAATCCAGAGTACCCACATCCAGGAATTCGCATCTTTTGGACATGTCAATCTTTGGGCTATCGCAGTTCATCCATATTCCTTTCGGAAGAGAGGAGCGGAAGAGTGGGGCAGATCTATATGTCCTCCCTGCAACACTTATGGAAGTGGACAACCCCCTCTAGGTAGAGGAACATCGTCTTCCTTTCGGGGCCACTGTCCAGGGAGTGTACTACTCTTCACCGAACTGGAGCCAAAGGCCCTTGGGCCCCGAAGGCGGACTCCGAACAGGTCACCGTTGGACTCCTTTAGAACTTTAGACCAAAGGCCAGCGCTTGGACTGAGGCCGCCAGCGACTCCACCAACGAGGAAGGGGGAACACGTTAAACGAAAACGGGAGATGAAACAGGTCATTGCGAAGCAAGCAGTGCTTTGCTTCCTCAAGTAAAGCAAGACACAGCACATTTTGCTTTCAATGTTCAACCTGGATGAAACATTGACAGATTCAATGTTTCTCTATTGGAATCATTTGGAATTTTCTTTGCATCAAGCTTGGTCGGGGCCTGACTCAGGCATGAGAGGCCAAGAGTGGAAATCATTAACAAACATTTTGCCAAGTCTTTCGAAGCTCGCCAGGGAGGAAGTCAAAGCGAGAGCTGGGAGTGGGAAGAAGCTGAAGAAGGCTCACAGCAGCTCAATCTAAATGGAATCGCTGGTCTGGTGCCATCTTGTTGGTATTTCTATGCATTTGTCCTTTATGTCCTTCCTACTTACCCACAACAGAAGGGAACAGCTCACGATCGATAGCATCGAATCACAAAGATTATGCAGATTTGTGGATTCTTTTGCAAGCTGTGCGGCTTTCGACTAGTGTTCCTCCAAGATCTTCAAACACATGTTTAGCGACATGGTGTTCTTGCACCTGTATATGGAGCTTTCCGTATCCCGTCCCTGCGATGCGTTGCGCTGCGTAACTCGCAGCGCGTGCGTTTCGCAGCTGCGAAATGCTGCATCTCAGCCAGGTGTGACGCAGCTCATGCCATCCAGAGACTTCACAGCCACAGGCCATGACCCGGGCGGCCCGGTTGTGGCATTTCCTCCTCGAGCGGGCGAGCGAGAGTGGTGTTCGCTGTCCTTGACAAACCGTTGATGAGACCTGTATCGTTGGAAGAATGCGACTGATCGTTCAGATAGAGATGAACAAGGAATCATTGATCATGAGGTTGTCAGATACAGTATGTAGTCTGTGTTCCGGATTCCATGTCTAGGTTGATGACCAGTGCCAGTGGACGGCAAGGTATGTGCGTGTGTTTTCTTGTTGTCTTGTACAATCTTGCAATGTATGCTCCGGTACTATTGCTGTAATTGATAAAACCTGTTTAAGCGGAGAGAGTGGCGATGCGTTGCTCATGGTAAAGTATGATGAACTTTGGCTGCAAAGGAGGCTAGATGGATCTAGATTGGATATACAATTCTTGACATGCAAGGGCTGCTGCTGCAGATGGAAGAACACATGATGGTGTCTTCGTTGTGTTGACACCGCTTGGTTGCACTCACCATTCTCATTCTCATGCTTTTGGTGCCCCTCCTGCGGATTCTTAGTGTGCTTGAATTGTTGGGGATTTGAAACACTTGCATGTGAATGTATGTTAGGTTTAGCCTTTGATCACTGTGTCCCCGCCTACTTGTTGCGCTTTTTGTGCATGATGACAATGAAGAGATATTGTGAAGACAAACTTAATTTAATGATTGAGATTACTTGTTTATGAGAGAGTGGGCAGCTTTTGAATCTTTAGAGTTCTTTAGAAATGAATCCAGGAACCAAATGAATAGTGCGAACGCTTCTTCAAGAAAGCTCCTCCCCGCTCTGGCGGGGGGAGCCTACGGGGCGGAAAAGGGAGAGAGGAAAAGATTCATTCGTGCCATGGTTCTTTTCTTGTCGCCTTGTCGCCTTTCCGTCTGTGCTTTCCGACAAAGGTCTGCCCTTACGTGAGCGTGACGCTGCGAGGCAAGGACACCAGGAAAATCGACATGGTTTTGGCTCATGGCGAATCTCCAGGGCCTTTTGTCTAGCTGAAGCCAAGCTGTTTGGTGCTTCGCCACACGAAGCGAAGGCTTGAAACAGCTGTTTGTCAAAGTCTTTAGGCACAGCACGTCCAGAACACTTGAGGGGATTGGTATGGATTGGTCATGCTTCTCAGAGCTTGTTGACATTGCTGATTGGCCCTGAGAGGCTTGCTACCATTGAGGAAGAAGGACCGCATTCCTTGACAATCCGGGAAGGTTTGACTTTGCTTGACCGGTTATGGCCTATCATACCCTATCATTCCATTAGGTGTTGATCAATTTGACTCTTGCAGTTGTTTCAGGACCCACTACAATTGCGGTGAGAGAGGAGCCGACGAGGGTGGCCACCTACGTTGAAGATGAAGGCCAAGTCACACAGCCGAGAGGCAAACCAAACTGTCGCGGTTTGGATCTGTAGGATCAAATGGTCCACAAAGCCATTAGCCATGATCGAGTTTGCTTGAATCCTAATTCACTAAAAAGTACAAGGGATGAACGCTAAAGGGGGTGAGGAAAAAGCAGGACAAGGTATAATATAATTGGTCTTGGTGGGACTTCCTGTTTACCCCATGAACTTTTTACTAGCCAAGGTTCCGCCTTTTTTTTCCAACACCAAATGGTTAACTTACACAACGGTGTTGAGCTTTGACGACATTCAACTTCAGGTTTGGCCTCGGCCGGTTCGACACAGTTTGGGCAGAAAATGAATCAACGAGGAATTCAGCTTTGGATATCATTGAAACTCCATCATCCGATACAATGTAAAATATGTTGCCTTTTTTCTACGCCTCATTTTAGCTGTCGCGGGTACTGTAGACCCACACAATTTTTGCGCGCACTTGCGAGAGGTATGGACCATGGATTTTTCCAGGTGATATCCAGTGGGCATGGGTGATATGATCCAGCTGTCGTTGGTATCATGTGGTGTCCAAAGATGACTCTATTCCAGAGTAATGTCTCCAAAAAACAAAAGAAAACAAAACAAGAGGAAAAAACACTCCCATGAGATGCGGTTTCCAATCCGAGCGGCCGCATGAGCTCAGCTCTGTGTTGCTCAGATTTGTTCCTCGCGGGCATCAATCTTGAAGAAGACGAAGGCCCATTGAAAGACTGTGCATCGTGAATTTGTTCTGTCATATTTCAGCTTTTTTATGATTTCTTTGGCAGGTTTATGCCTGATTGCTTTATTACTGTATTTCTTTGGAAGGAAGCGAAGATTTTCTTCGAGAGTATCAGCGTGGTTCAGTTTTCTGCTGGAAAGCAATTAAACGTAGCCGACCTAAACATGTGAAGATTTTGCGATCTTTTTGATTTGTCCAATGGACTAAAGCAAGACCTTGAAATACTGTATGAACCAGATTGCGGCGTTTGGCGTTTCCAGGTGATCCTAATAATTATCAGGGTGTAAGAAATGCAGACCACATCCAATAGTGGTTGGAGGCCATCGCTAGTAGGTTGGAGGCCATCGCTTCTAGGATGGAGGCCATCGCTAGTAGTAGGTTGGAGTCCATTTCTGGCGTTCGACACCGGTTGCCCGCAGGTAGTGATCCGGAGGAGCTGCGATTTTCGCTGGAAGACGTTGGCGTCTCCTATGAGGACAGGGAATTCTCGTTGGTTGGCCGTCCTTGGGCCAATGTCGAACATTGAACATGGCCACGTGCGGCGCTCTTTTCCCCAGATAGCAAGAGCTTATTGGGCTTCTTACTTCAAGTATAGGAAGAGGTGCCTGTGTGTGGAGCCTGGGTGCTGGTGCCGCTGCAGGGCGCTGAGAAAACAAATATCTATATGATGTATATACTGTATAGTTCTATTTGACATCATTATATGCTGATGTATTTTGGTGGTATTTTTCCACACCTTCCAGAAGCATGATAGCCCCTGATCAGACCACATTCGTCTATCTTCGGTCATTCTATGTGGAGCCGGACGAGGGCGCCGCGTGTCTTCACCCGAGCGGATGCCGAGCGGAGGTGAGCTCAGAGGTCAGCTTCAGTGGATCCGGGTCCTCGCAAACCGAGTCGGAGGCGGTGATCGATCGGCGGCTTTGGTCGGATGCGGATTCAATCGGTTTTTTTGCTTTGGTCGGATGATTGTTTGTATTTACTGTAGCATTATTCAGTAGTTATATAGTATATTGTTCGACATCCGAATCGCAGAATCACGAGCTTCATCGGATCACATGTGACCTTGTTGCCTGGAGGGAACATCCTCAAACTCCATGAGTGGAAAATCCATCCTTTCCCTTTCATAGGTGGTTCCTGTTGCATTACGTTCAGCAAGCGGGCTACCGGCTTGCTTTGTGCCAGGAGGAGGAGGATTGCTTCAAGTTGTGAGTAACGGCCTGAGCGTTGAGCTGTTCATGTCGTTTTCTTGGTCATTTTGTGGCCTATGTGAAAACACGGACTCCTTGACTTTTTGCATCACTGCGAATCACATGCGTTGTGGCAGCTGTTTTGTGTTGCGAGGTTGAAAGGAGTGGATCGAGGCTCTGCCAGGTTCTGCCAGGTGTGCTTAGAGCGGCTGGCGGCTGGAAAACGGGAACAGATGTCATGACATCATCGATCTTGAGTTCCGCTGAAGTTTTGTCGAGTGTTATCAGCCATGTCAAGAGATTTGACCGCCCGTGTTAACCAGTTGCAGTGGAATCGGAGACACATTGTGTTGTTCAATATAGGCCCGTATAGGCTCAACAGGTGATCGAGGCAATCAGAAGTGGACTGTGGGTACAGTAGCCGGTGGTAGCGATAGATGCGGTTGAGTTAGGGCCAAGTTGCTATCCTCTTTGAACAGCACAAAGTCACCAGCCTCTCCAGAGATCTTGTACAAATTCAAGCGAAAATCATCTCGTTGATTGCCTGACCAAGCTGTTTCGCTGGCCTGAAAGTGGGCTGGCACCAAGTAGCATAATGTGTGACAAAAAGATGAAGTCAGCTTTTGCTCAGCATGCTTTTTGCATTGTTAGATTGAAGACAGCAACTTGTTTGAGTATTTGTAGAATTTGTAGACTACTCGCACAAAATGCCTTCACAAGACTCTTGTTGGTCTAAGGCTCCGAGTTTGGTCTTGGTGAGTTCAAGATGTTTGCAATGATGTATGGTGTTTTGGCTATCCACAAGTTGCGAGTGAAGTTTCACAACTTTGGGCATCTTGCAGCACGTTATACATTGAAGAGTTTGTTGAAAGCAACTGGGGCCGGGTCTTAGGAGGTCGAGTTGCAGTTACTCAAGAATTTGCAGTTCAACTAGGCCATGCCAGTGAAATCTTTAGACAAATCGTCCTTATTTTCTGGCAAGCCTCCGGAAGGGCACCAAGTCAGCATGGAGTCGCGGCAGCGATGCTTGTTTCCAGCACTGGAATCTAAAAGTTCAAATGCCGCGACCTCAGTGGGTGCCACCAAAATGTTCGGACATAGACAGCTGGAATTTCGGATTCTTCCGGTTCTCGGATTTAGTTTGGAACGGATTCATTGTGATTCATTGGGAAATTGAGGAGGGGTGGATCACGTTGCTGAAATTGAATGTCTCTTGCACAGGCCATCAGAGATGTGAGCTAACAAGCATAAACAAGCAAAGGCTGTCCATCAAGTAGCTTAAGTTTCCCTAAAAATCTAGAAACCAAATCATTAGTCCGAGCGTGAGCTATCCTGCGTCCATACTGGTATCTTACTTGTAGGATCCCCCACGCTTGTACCACTATAAAATGTAGATGCCTTGGCCCTATAAAATGATGAAACCGACCCTCATTTTATAAAGATCATTGGGGCAGCTCAGAGGAAAAAAAAGAGAAACGTTTGGTTCCAGGAAATGACGTCATTTTATAGAGGAGGTATGGTGTTTAGCAAACGGAAAACGGTGTTGGAATTTGCCGGGATTGTTGCGCTCGTTTTTGAGATTCCTTGATCATCAACCAGAGGTTGATTTTTCATTTTATAAACCTTGTGTTTTTTCCTTGAGACATCATCCGAGAGTTGATGTTTAATTTTATAAATAGCTAGTTTTCTTCAAGTCATTTTATAAGGAATCCATGTCTCTTGCCAATTGGGCCAATTTACACTTTTGCTGTCGTGCTCCTACATATTGTAAAAAGGTTGGTTTTGTCATTTTATAGTCATTGTAGTGGCGTTTGTCATTCTATAAAGCAAATTTACTATAAAATGTAAAATGGCAGCCCATTGGGAGTAGTAAGGGGGCTCTTGTAGGTACTAGCTACCTCTCCCTACTAGCTACCTCTTCTACTAACTACCTCTAGCTACTACCTACCTCTGGCACCCACTCCCATTAACTTAACAGTTTGAAGTTGGAAAACAGGGTGCCCGAACTTGGCGCTGGTTGTGAGGCCAGCCGCTCCAAGTTGAGCAAATCAGAGCCTTCCTTAAGGCCACTAAGGGGCCGGCGGAGCGCTTGGTGCGGTCCGTTAAGGGATGCTGAAGTTTGGAGGGTGAGCCAGCGTCAGCTGACGCGGTCATTTTGGGTGACCAAAAGCACGGCGTGTGACGGTCCAACGCCCACTTTAGTTATGCTCATTGAGGGCACGAGATGCCAAAGCATTGTAAGAACTCTTGCTGGTATTGCTGATTGACAATTCCATTGGTTCAATTTCAATGTCCTTTTCCTTAAAAGACAGTGCAGGCACTACGGTGGAATCCAGCATGTCACAACGGTGGTTGTCTCCGCATCGGTTCACATCGAATGCGTGGCTGTTGCACGATGTTCCTTGCCGATCAGTTCCCTTTTGTGTACAGCAGTTGGTGTGACGAGTGAAAAACAAGGCAACTTACTAGAGAATTTGAGAGACTTATAATGTTTGCACGACATCGTGCCAGGTTTGGAAGAGTTTGGATATCGAGGATAGAACAGTGGCATATTTGAAGCATTTTGGGAAACTGTCACATGTTCTGAACAAAAGAGCAAAGATGATCAACATGAGCAGAGCAAACCGACCTCCCGTCAATCAGACTCGTCTGTGAAGCAACGGTTTGGCACGGATTGGTGCATCCCCCGTTCCACCGGGTCACCGGGCTGTGCTGCAACCCACGGGGAGCCTGTCGGGTCGTGTCCGGTGAAGCGTAGAACGCACCGGGCCAAAGCGCACGGCTCAAGGCGACCGCTCAATGGCTGGATTTGGATGGTTGAAGCCAGTGGTTTCCAAGCTTCCAAGCTAGTTGGCTTGTTTCTGTTGTGCCCAAGAACTGCTTGAAAAAGACACAGAACTCAGACCTGCAAGCCGAATGTTCCATGGCGGATGCTGATCCGTTTTCCGGCTGGACCGTTGGGGAGTCCCAACCGACCCGCGCAGCGCTGGACCCGCGTCGTGCAGGATCTGACGTGAGGATCGACGTGGGGTTTCTGCTGTCATCCCCCGATGGGGAGGTGTTTTGCAGCTTTAGAAAGCAGCTTTAGATCAGAGGCGATGGGCCCTGAAAGGTTTGGGTCAGTGGAGCCCAGTTCGTGTGATGACGAGAGCAGCGGACATTTGAAGTTCCAGGTACAAGGTGAACATAGGTGAACTGTTCCTGTCACAAAGCAATTGAGTTGGATTTTGGGACCTCTCGCTCTCGTCCACACTCGTCCACTCAGGCCGTGGGGTTGAACCGCATGCAGCCATGTGCAGTCCTCACAAGGAGTCATAGTAGCGATGACCTCCACCCTAGTAGCGATGACCTCCACCTCAGTAGCGATGGACTCCACCCTAGTAGCGATGAGTCCTCACAAGGAGTCACACTTGCAGCTCTTGGCTCAAAATTGTGCTCGAGCTGGCACCGGCTTTCAGGGCATTGATGCCATTGTAGCAGCATGGCGATGTGTTTAGTTCAAGAGTTCCCAGTGCATCCAGGCAAGGTATGTTTGTTCGGGTATGATGATGATTTTGACATCCGGTCCATGCATATTCCATGGCACTCCGGTCTTTAGTTCATGACCTCTGGACTTTGGCCAGGCTCTTGAAGTGTTTGCTGTCGTATCCTATCCGGAGTCAGGTTACGAGAAGCATCCGGAAGCCATAGAGCTCTTTAGGGTTAAGGATGGCAGGCATCCTGCTACACCTGTTATCCTGCAGCCGACTTTACATGATGGAGACTTCTTTCAAGGGACTTAGTGCCCCAGGTGAGTTCCCCGGCCAATCATCCCCCTTCAAACGCCTCCCAAATCCTGCTCAGCAACTTCTTTTCTTGGTTTTTGCTTCATCCATTGCTCTTGACGGGCAACCTGGCTGTTGCAGAACCAACAGCTTCCACGAGCAATCGCTCTAGATACGGAAAAGTGTATGGGCGTGTGGCTCTTGGCATTAATTTGCTACGCACGGTCCCCCAGCTCCATCGTGTGAATGCTTCAGCTCTTCATTGCGACCCCATGTTTAAAGTGTTCCTTTTCTGATCTCCCTCCTTTCTCTCTTTTCTTCTAGATCGTCGAGCTGACAAGAGCGGTTTTTCTCCGTGGCTGCTGCAAGTCTGAGGCTGCTTGTGGGAAAGCACATGCCATTTCCATCCATTTCCACCACTTGGAGCCTGCCACTCCTCCAGGAACGTCCGAGGTGGCGTCAGAGACACAGAGCTGCGATGGAAGGGGGCCTTTCGGAGCGCAATTTGCGGAAGATGACGCTGTTTTCCCTTCATCCTTAGATGACGCTGTTTTCGGTGCGTCCCTTTGGCGCATTTCGTGCGGCCATGACCGGGATGAAGCAGTACTCGTGGCTGTTCGCTCTAAGAACTGGGTGCTGCGACCCCGTGGAGGTACACCGCTCGTTCTTCAGCAGGGGGCATTGTTCTTCACGCAGTTCTGTGCGTTCCGGTTGATCCATGCGTGCCATGTCGGTCCCTGTTTTCAGGAGCAACATGTCGGTCCCTTGGGCGGCCTTTTCGTATGGATGAGACGAACGAAGCCACTTCGGCCGTTCCGAGCCGTTCCGAGGCGACGTGCGGCGACTTCGACCAGGGAGCAATTTCAAAAGATCGGGGAGATGCTTTGCTTTGACAGGGAGGAGATGAGAGGAGATGTGGATAACGACTTCCGTGACTCTGTATGACCCCCCCATCTCTCACAGTCCAGTGCTGTTAAAGTGTATAGACTAGGGCAGGGCAGTGTCTGAAGTGACATGCTTCTCCCTGTAGTCAATGCGTCCATTTTGGCCTGCGCCAAAACCCACACGGGCTGAGAAGTAGAAGATAAGCCAAGGTTTTTGACTGATTTTTGTGATTGTTGCTTTTGTTCAATGATTTGGGTGCGTGAAGGTGTCATCAAGAGGCTGAATGGAGTCCAATGGATGCATCTATCGAATGAGCGACAGGAGAGCTAGGTTCTATTAGGTTCTCATCTAGTCTACTTCTCTTTAACTATCC